ATGAAGACCTGGTCTAGTGTGAAGTAGTGGTGGTGTCCAGCAGCAGGTGGTAAGCACCTGAGGTAAAGTGGCCTTAGATCTATGGAGAAAGGAGAGGGATTCCAGAAACACTGGGCAGGTAGGTCTGGCAGGATGTGGTGAGGATGAGAGAAAGCCGACAGCCAAGGAAGACTCCTGGGACTGCAGTTTGACAGAAGAGGTCAGTGGGGGACTCAGCCGCTGTGGGCACTGGCCATGCAGGTCTGAGTCCCAGAGGAAAGTCAGGGCTGGGAGTCCAAATCTGGTAAAAATTAACGTATGACTAGTGTCTAAACCCAGGTGAGTAGAGGAGGTCACCACATGGAGTGTTGAGTGGGAAGAACGGGTTGCCAATAAACGTTCTGGTGTTCAATAAAGGTTGAATTGGCATGCTCATGAGACTGGCTCAATAAAGGTTATGAATGAACAAATGAATACATGAGTGAATGAGAAACAAACAGGGTTCAGCTGGACAAACATAGTCAAGCGGCTTTACAAAAAAGAGAAAAGAAAGTACCTGTGCTAGAATAAGGTGGAAAACCAGAAGGGTCAAGGCCCCTAGGGTCTAGCCAAATATTGATCTTTATAAAATCTAAATGCAGTTCTTCTGGTTAAAAAGGACTACTCACCCTTTCTGGTAAACAATTTGGCAGCATGTACAAGGCCTTTGAAAAGTTAATATCCCTTGACCCATTAATTCCACTTCCAGGAATCCACCCAAAGGAAGTAAGCAGAGTTGCAGGCAAAGATTTATGCACAAAGATATTTCAAATTCCTGAGACATAAATTTCCCTGGAAGGCTTGGGATGGGGGTAGGGAACATTTAACTTTAGCATCTTTTTAAAAGTTATCAATACTCAGCAGTACTATGGTATAGAATATAAAATTTCATTAGTGTTTAAGATAAAAGATGAGCATTCAGAGAACTCCGTGCTTGCCATGAGACTCCCACTCTGCTCTGCTTTTGGGGTCACCAAAGAGGGAACACTGGGGGGGTGCTGGTCCGCAGGGTGAAACCAGAGCCTTTGGTGGCATGGTGTCCCAGAGGCGTGCACACTGCCATCCTGTCACACTGTGTGAGGTGAGGTTTACACACTGCCATCCTGTCACAGCAAATGTGTGAGGTGAGGCACACACACTGCCGTCCTGTCACACCCCTCATCACTTCCTGTTTTATTACACCATTTCATTTATGACAGCCCTGACCTTCTGTCAGAAATTTTTCTCAGCATCTCTTTCAGACATAAATGACTCACTTTCATCACTGTCTTTTCTATACCTTTGTATCCATTACTACATTTATCATCCTTTATGAGAAACCTTTGAAATATTTACTTTTGTCAATTACAAAAGTAACATGCATACTCATTAGATAAATTTTGAAGAATTACCCACAAATAGAAATATTATATAGCTGTCATGATACTCAGACCATGAAGTTTAGAACTTAATTTTTATATAACATTGCATGAGCATTATTGTGCCACACTAGTGTAATTGTTTAAAGGTCTGTTGACAATAATTGGCTAAGTCTTCTTGAGAGTTGAGACTCCTATTTTGTATCCCCAGCACCGAAGTTCAGCATTGGTCTGAGTCAGTGTAGGGACTTAATACATGTTTGTTGAATTGTGGAACTGAAAGATTTATCTGTTTCCATCCGTACTTTCAAGGAGCTCATTCCTGGAGAGGAGCCATACATATTCACTCATTATTTAATTCATTCATTCATTCAGCAGATACTTACTGAGCACCTACTAACACTGGACATCATTCTAGCACTGCGGACACAGCAGTGCGCAGAACCCCCACCCTCAAGAAATGTGTATTCCAGAGCAGCGATTTTCAAACTCGAAGGTGTGTTGGAATCACCTGGAGGGCTAGCTAAACCGCAGATCCCTGGGCCCCACCCCCAGAGTTTCTGATTCAGTTTCAGTGGGGCCTGAGAATTTGCATTTCTGCCAGGTTTCCAGATGATGCTAATGCCACCAACATGGACCACAATCTGAGAACCCCTGGCATAGAGGATAAGTTTGCAGTAGGGCAAAAGAATGCTTTCCAGTTCGCAAATGTCTGATTGTCAAAGCCTCTCTGATTCTTCATGTCCCAGAGAGGAGAGAGAGGGTGGAATAATGCCCTGTGTCCAGAGAATGGGTGCCTCTGGATGCCTCTCAGCAGTGTGTGCAGAGCCACGGAAGCCTGGACCAGGAAGGAGAGAGGGTAGAGCAGCAAGGATAGCCACGAGAACCTGCTCTGTGCCCACACTTCGGCACACCTGCCGTATGGAATGTCCAGTCTTCAGAGCACCTGCAAGGGAAGTATGATTTCCCCCATTCTATAGATGTGAAAACTGAGGCCCAGAAAGCCTATGTGATATACTGTGGGCCCCCAGGCCAGTGAGTTGCATGTGTGAGGCTCCTCATCAGGCCTTCCTGCCTCCAAACCCCATGGCTCTAGTTGAGACTCAGGTTGGCCCGGGGCTGGGCCCTCAATGGGACCAGTTTATGAAAATGCTCCAGAATTCACGGCTGCTTCCTCTGCAGCAAATGCCATGAGCCAGGACTTGAGGGTGGGCACCGCCAGTGCCCCTGTTTCTCCAGCATGGAGGGAAGCTCAGGCTTGCAGTTTATGAGGGAGAAAACCAGACTGGAGTGGAGGGCCTCGATTGCTGAAACAGACCTTCACTGTGGAGGAAATAGCTAATTGTCCTTCCTGGAAGAGCTACCTCTGGAAATTATTAATATTTTCTCAAATGTAGATCTTTTTGGCAGTATATTTTTGGTGCACTTTTAGTGCAGGTTAGTGTGTTGAGAATTTGCATAACTGTTCAAAACTAAATGAAAACCCTTCTGAAGAAGCATAGGCTGGCAGAACGATTTCACACACACTGAAGATGAGTAAAAGCTATATGATTCCACTGCAAGGGTAACTAGAGGTGTCCCTGCCACAGACACCAGTTCCCGGCTCTGACACACTTTTGAGTGCCACCTTCTGCTGCAGTGTGCACATCTGTCGGTTACCTGGTTGCTTCACTTTAGGTCCACATACAAGGGCCTTCAAAGATCTGTGCTTTAGCCTAATGACCAAGGAAGACACATTTTGCTCCACTCCATATCTCTGCAAGAGATCATCTCCCTGTCCCTCAGTAGCAAATTATGCTTCTCTCTTGTTGACCTGGTGCATTTCCTCATTTCATTTAAAGACTGTAAAGTCCATTGTTTTTCTTTTCTTGCCTATGTTGCCAGGAAGCTCAGAGCTATGCTTTGTATGCAGTAGTTTTCCTTAACCTAAGGTTCTTTGGTATAATTATCCCCACACTCTTTTAAACCTTTCATCACCTGTGTCTTCTTTTAGAAGCTTTCCAAAAGAACTTCTAAAAGTAGGTGAATATCACAGTTTAATGGGTGAAAAATGAATTTTCAGAGTGGAAGAGATGAATTTAAGGGTTTTTTTCTAACTTCTGAAGAGTGAATTGAGCCAACCATGGGCATATGTATGGACACATACTTGTTGAAGAACATGTCTGTACTTGATGCTTTGAGACATACCCACTTGGTCATGTAGTTAGACCCACGCCAGACCTGGCTACTCACTGCTTGCTTTATGACTTGCAGAGACTTGAATGTCTCTAGACCTCAGTGCCCTCAGCTGAAATGGAGATAATGATACCATGCAGGGCTGTTGAAGATTAAACAAAACAATGTATGTAAAATGCCTGGCACAGAGCCTGGTACATAGTACGTCTGTGATGGACAGTAATTACTACTATTGTTATTGTTAGGTCTGGCACAGGCTGAACTATGGAAAGAGTGGACGGTAGATCTGAAGCTGCTCCAGATCATTTTCTAGACTGCCTGGTGATCAACTAAAATGACTTTCTGCTTAAAGTGAGGGTGGGTCTGCCAAGAAGGCTGCTAAGCCTTGCTTCCCCTTTAGAGAGAGTAGCTCATGCTGGTATTTCTTACTAATTTGCAAAGGACAGTAGTTGATCACTGCAGAAGCCTCAAGATTTTCTGAGGTCATCCACTTAGGCACTGGTGACTAAGACACAACTCTGAGGTCTCCACCTCCTGACTGATTTGTAAAGTGACTTGCACACCCTTGCTCAGAAAGTCCCCAAAAGCCCATTTCCTAGTTTTGGCTGACTCTCACTTGATTTTATTAGGCTATTACTTCCAGTTCTTCTTTCACTTAAAACTATTAAATTCAATTGCCCGGGGGGGTGTTTTAGGGAGGCAAAGTAAAAGCCATCCCACTCTGTGTGGTCATTAGTCCCCATCTTGCCAGCTCAGGAAATGAGAAGGAAGTTACCTGCGCGGTGCACACCATGGCCTGGAGCATCACCTGCAGGCCCCGCGGGCCCTTTGGCCTTGGGGGGCTCAGACAGAGCAGCGTGAGGCAGGTGTCCGCCAGATTTCCCCTCTTGTGGGCCATGTGCCCCTCAACCTCCGCACAGTGGTGTTTCTCCCCACCTCTGCCCTTCTGTGCCAAAACAGTTGTTTTTAAACAGGAAGCTCTTTGGGCCATAAAATGTCAGCTGGTAGTTAGTATATGGTCACCTCTGGATTACACAGCAGCCTGATGGGCAGGAAGCAGGTGATTCATCAGAAAAAGAAAAAGAAAAAATAAACTCTTACCAAAATGAACTTCCTCTTTCAAACTCTCTTTGTTCCAATCATCCTTTTAGAACATTTTTCCAGGCTCTTAGAAAAAAAACTAACAGGGACTAGTGCAGTGTTCCACAGAGAGGGATGCCCAGCCCTCCAGAGCCAGGTGCCTGGCTCTCCCTCACTAGTAAGGACAAGGCCCCACTGTAGGGCTGGGGTCAGGGTGTGGGCACTGCCTAGAGGACATGAGCCTCTGCCAGCTTGACAGACTTCATGTCCTCAGGAGCCTCCAGCGGAGAGGCATCTTGGATGTCACGTGTGTCCCCCCTTCTGATGGAGCACCCGTTCACCTGGCCCCTGTCCTTGTTTCCCTCACAGGTTCAGGAGGCTGCGAGCCAGGGCCTGAAATTCGTCGGCGTCATCCCTCAGTACCAGGACCCCAGGAACCCGGCCGGCTGCAGCCTCCCGGCGGATACCAGAGGGGCCAGGCTGGAGCCCGGCGAGTGTGCGGATCCGGAGGCCCCGAGGAATCCAGTGGGGGCAGATGGAAGCCCAGAGCCAGGCCAGGGCCCAGGAGTGGAGGCGCCCGCCACCCAGCAGCCCAGCTGGCCCTCAGGAGAGGCGGCCGGGAAGGGCTCTTCCCCACATGGGGTGGGCAGGCCTCTGGACGGACCCGATGGTGCCATGGCCGGAGTGCGCGCCCAGCAGCTCTCGGGAAGTAAGTGTGTCAGCCAGGGCCACTTACCCCACTTACAGGGAGCTTCCCAGGAGGCCCATGGCGCTTTAGGGAAAAGAAATGGCGTAGAGCATAGAGACAGCAGGCCATCAGACAGGGCAGGTGCTTCCTAGTGGCTTCCCGGCCAGCGGACTGATCGCTTACTGAGCTGTGACTTCCCGGGAGGGCTGGAGAAACTGGCTTGCAGTTGCTCCAAACTGTCACGTTTGAAGTAGGTCCTAGGTGAGTTATTTTATTTGCTGAGCTCTTGCTGTGCCCTTGAATTACCCTGCTCTTAACACAGGAAGTGTCAACGTGCCGGCCCCATGCACAGCACCGACTGCACTTTTGGCCCATTTACTTTGAATATCTGCCTAAAAGAAAGAAATCAGGAAAGCCAGGTGAGGACAAATTGTGCAGGACACTGGTAATTCAGCTCACTAGACTGGAAACAGACAGATTTCAGGGACTTTGTGTTGTTGAAATGTTGGCTCCGCAGAGAGAACCCCCTGAGGGGGGGCCCCTGTGTGTGAACCATCTGAGCCCCACGGTGACTGACGGCATTGTACACACTTTTGGCGAGAGATGTCAGATAACACTGCGGTGGGGGCTGTGAGCCAGCATTTATGAATGCTTCCTGTGTTCCATGCCCTGTGCCAATGAGTATTTTGTATGACTGATCTCTCAATTCTCCCTGTAGCCCTATGATGTGGGTTGGGGGGGGCTCTGGTATCATTGCCCATTTTACAGCTGAGTAAACTGATGTTTGGAGAGTAAGTCTTTGCCCAGGCTGGGAATTGGCCAATTTGGCATGTGAACCCAGGTGGCCTTCACCACCATCCCATTATACCTCTTGACTGGGCCTTCCCTGTGTAGGACTCTAAGAAAAAACTTCCTGAGTCCCTCAGTTTATAGGGAGTGAAGCTGTGCTTCATTTCCCCTCCACTCCTTTTCCTCTTCTTCGCCTGGAAACCCAGCTGTTGCCTGCAAGCCGGGCACTTACATGTGCTATGTGGCCTCCAGTGGTCTTTCTGGAAGGTGAACAGTCCAGGACTGGCCAGAGGAGATCCCCAGGCCTTGGGGGGCATCTCTCTTACTAATTCTTGAAATTAGCATTTTGTAAATGATGAAGAACAGTTCATGCTTTGAGAATAGAGAAGAGGGTGAAATCGTTCCTTTTGTTACATCAGTACTTCCTGAAAAGACTGCTGTGGGACGGCCCATCCCAGGGCCTTACTTGCAGAGTTGATGCAGAGGGAGAGACTGGCGCAGCCTGGGCCCTGAGACATACTAGGACTTCTATGTAATCAAGGCCTGGATGCCCCTTAAGTGCAGACTGGAGTAGAGCTCTTTGTGAGAGTTTCACACTGTTGGAGGCAGGTTCTGCTCCCCTCAGAGAAGCTGCAGCACAGTTACACCCTGGTTGTGCTCCCTAATGAATGTCCAAGTCCTACTCCAGAAACTGTCGTCTTCCTGTGACTGCTGGGCTAGATGTGTGGGCTGTGAGTCCTGAGAGGGAATATGGGCCTCCTTGGAGCCTTTCTCTGCAACCCAGGAGCAGGAGAGGGTGAGGGTTCAGGGCAGGCACAGGCCACCTGGAGAAAGGGGCAAGAGCCATAGAAAGGCAGGTAGCTCAGTGGTTAAGAACCCATACTCCATTTACATTCCAGTGGTTGAGGCAAGATGCCTTTGGACTCCTTCCCCTGTAAAATAATTTCTTGTTGAAAGTTTGGATGAGATGGACCTTTAAAGCACTCTTCACTGCGTGACTCGTGTGAGCTGATGTATTGGGGTTCAGGCACAGTAGTCCTGCCCACTGACCTCTACCTCTGTGTGGAGCCCTGGCTTTAAGAAAGGAAGCAATTAATACTGGGGTTTCTCCCAGGGGTTTTCAGATACGCCCTATTCCAGAATCCACCTTTCTCCAGTCCTCCTACACCTCCTGTCTTCTGTGGCTGACCCCAGGGAAATTAGCTGGAGAGACTTGTCCTACAGTCCTTGGCCCAGGTGCCCTCTGCTGCCTCACAACTGTCACCTCTTCACCCAGAGATGCCTCCCCGGTCGCTGAACACACAGCACCCCTCCTATCCAAGGCGCTTTGGCTGGTGCCTCCCTCCCTCCAGGTGCTGCTCTCCCCCAGAAAGCCAGCTCCATGGGGAGGACAGGGTGGGAGTGCTGGAGGCAGCCTGCCTGCAGAGGCCGGGCGTGCCACGTATAGGCGCCACAGCTCAGCGGGCAGCAGCTGTGTATTGTCTGCTATCTGTCTGTCTCTCAGGAGGCCACAGGTCTCCGATTTAGGCTGCTCACTGCTATTGTTCATTCCTCTTTCTGTGGAATAAATGAGTCTTTGGGCTTTTTCATCAGTTAACAAAAACACGGGGTTTACTGGCGCTCATGCATGGCCATGTGGCAGATGGACAGACAGCAGTCACAATGATTCTCACACTCTGCGTGAACCGTTCTGAGTTCTTCCTGAGTGTCATCTGGACTGTGCCTGCAACAGCTTTATGGCAGAAGATGCTATTTCTATGCCCATCCCACAGATAAGGGAAGCAGCCTTCCAGCGTGCAGCATCACTGAAGGCCGGGCGCCAGGGACCCTGTCTTCTCTGGCACTGCCTGTGCCTGACCCCAGCCTCTCTCCTAAACCTTTTTCCTGGGAAGTCTTGTCTTCTCCTTGCAATGCCGTGCTGCCTCCAGCTTCCTCGCCTTGCTGCTTGCTCAGCTTTCAGCATGCCTTTCTCTCAGGGCCCCCTAAGGAGGGTGAAGTGTTTTTACTCCTCTTTCTGCCAGGTGGGCTTAAATAGGCAATCACAGCAAGACAATTAAAAAAAGTCCAGAGGGAGTCTCCCTCCTTCCCTGCCTTCTCCTCGCTTAATTTATTTCCTTTATATGAGGCCCAGGGGAGCCATGTCTCATCTGGAGCGGCTGGGCTGGGGCTGCCGGCGCAGTCCCCATCCGGAAGCAGGCCTGGCTGCCCCCGTGCCCGTGGGGTCCGGCCCGCACTGCAGCCCACGCAAGTCCCTTGGGAGGCCCATCACCTGGGTTCTTCCTTCTCCTTGACTTGACTTCCTGGCCCAGGCAGTGTCCTGTAAGTTGGATGCCCGTACTGGGCAGGAGTCCCTCAGCTGGTGCGGGGACAGTCCAGGGCCTCACACCCACTGCTTCTCACAGTCACACCGAGCTGCGGTGAACTCATCAGTGCCCCAGCAGCTCTGCTCAGGGGAGGGGTGCAGGCCCTGGTGGTGCGTTCTGCTCATGGGAAGCATGCTTTCTCCACCTGCAGTATACGGGCCGGAGCCAGGGCAGGCCAGGTTCGGAAAGGCTAGGAAGCCCTCTCTTCCCCTGGCCTCAACACCGTCCTCTCTTCCCTCAGCAATGTCAGCCAGAGAAACAGGGAGGCCAGGCAGGATCATGCAAATTCAAATTGTTCTCACTGCCACTGAAATAATAATAAACTTCTCCCAAGCACTGCCCTTCCTACTCTGCACCTACTCATCTAAAATATCTAGAACTGCCAGCCAGAAACCCTAGCCAGAGAAAGCAAGTGTGCTTCCGGGCTGAGGGGGTGTCTGTCCCAGGCCCCCTTAGTAGCAACTCGCCATGGCGGAGAGGAGGTGCCCTCCTGAGTGTGGCTGTCCCGAGGCGTGGAGCCCTGCCCCGACTGGGGGTATCCTCCCCTCCGGCCCCCAGCATAGCGCCACCACCCGGTCCGCCCCTCTCAGATCTTCCACCTGCCACCATCTCCCTGGCCTTCCTTTCAATCAATTAACAAACAGCTACTGAACTGCCACCCGTGGTCAGCAGCTCCTGCTTTCTGGAAACTGATGAAATTAGCCTTTTGTTAGATTTGGGAAACATCCCAGCGTTTGGGGTTTGAGAAACTGTTGGCTTTGCCATTTGCCAGTCATGATTTCAGGGGACCCACCTAAGGCTTCTGGGCAGAGAACCTATGCAGCCCCTCCCCTGGAGGCTGGGGAGCAGCAGGAGATGGCGGAGGTGGAAGGCCCCTGTAGACTGAGTGGTGTGCCTGTGGCTGCTGCAGTCCTTAGCTGGCTTCCCTCAGAGTGCTGCCATGCGGTGGTTTCCACACTTTGCCCAGGCAGGTGGCCTTGCCCAGGCCCAGAGGTGTTCTGCTGCTGGTACCAAGCCTGATTCCAGAATCTGGACAGGCCCCAGGCTCTCTCTGCCCACAGCCCTGCCTTGCCTTCCCAGTGCAAACCGGTCATCCTAGCTGCCCCTGTCCCACGACCTGGCTGACCTACACCCCCACACGTTCTGACCACCACGTCACTTGTTCCATCCCACCCAGCTAACATGCCAGCTTCCTCCTCCTCCCAGTCTAGTCTTGGAGCTTCATGCTTTAAGCCGGACCCTGAACCCTTCGTTGCCTCCAGCCTGGAGGGATCCTGGGACACGAGGACCCAACCAGCCCGCCTGCTCTCTGCAAGCCACGGGCTCTCAGGGCCATCCTTGCAGACGATGTACTTCAGATTCCATCCGGTGCTTAGATCCTCACTGCGGGGCCCAAGCCTCAGAAGTGAGCACTGCCTCCTTCCTCTATGCTCCTGAGGAGCTTGGCCAGGCCTGAGTGCACCTGCCATCAGGTTGGCAGCACCCAGCAGGCCCCGTGCCCCCTCTTCCTCTCCAGGCTTTTTGCACTTGTCTGACTTAGGTTAACCCAGCAAACATGTGTGCCACCTGTCATATTACAGGGGCTTTTCTGGGCATGGGGCATCAAAATGGCATAAGACAAAGCCCTCATGTCAGGGGGAAGGAGAAAGATAAGACCAAACTAGGTACAAGGCAAGGTAGTCTTACTGCTCCTTCAGTGCTCCACCAGCCCAGCCCTTCTGCCGTTCTCGGGACGTTCTCAGAAACAATGCCTTTCCCCTCCTTTGGGACTTTCTGTCCCATGTCTGGAAAAATATTCCAGCTGGGGTCATGGCAGAGTCACAGAACAACTGAGAAAATTTAAATAAACTTGAGCTTCTTTTTGGAATCCCTGGTGCCTGCTCATGTGAGGATATGTATTGGGGAATCAGAATATTAAAACATCCAAGGGCATCATTTTAGGACAGTTTCTCTTGGCTGGTTTCCACGTGAGTGGAGAGAGAATCATGGCCCAGGAGACAGTGGGACAGAGAGGTTTACTAAAGGGTTATGCATCCACAATCAGGTTTCTCCCAATATTTCATTGCTGCTGATGCTTTGGAGGCTCTTGATTCCAGTAGCATTTCCTTTCCTTCCTGAAAAATTTATTTCTGTCTCTGGCTTCAGTCCTGCACTCTGAGGAGGATGCAGACGCGAAGGCTGTGGTGCTGTCAGCACCGCACTGGCCGCCTCATCTGATGGTCTCCGTCTCCCCTTCATCCCCCTACATTCTTGTTTCCTCTTCAGCCTTCCCCTTTTTCTGTTTCGTTACACATTTGGGAAAGTTGTGTTTTTATCTTGCCATGTGAGTGGGGAATCCCTCTGTGTGATCAAGTGTTGTCATGCATTTTTGGACTTCGGTTGCTTCCAAATTCCCCACTCCCCGTGCAGAGGCTATAATTGCTTTTGCTTTTTAATTTGTATCTGTTTGTGCCTGACTGTGGTGACTGCTGCTCCGGCCCACTGGGGGGTCTCCCGAGGACAGTTTTCTTAGCTTCTACCTGCAGGCATTCTCTGGAATCAGAACATGCCCCAGGGGGATAATGCCTCAGGAGTGGCCCTTGGTCCCTGAGGATGCTTGCCCAGCCTTCCTTGCCCCTGGGTCTCATATGGTGCCTCAGGGTCCCTAGTGGGACTGTGCCCCAGTTGCCATTATGGTAACCTGCTCAATAATGCTTCCATCTCTTCCCTACTTTCCACCCCAACTCCGATATCCTGGGATCATTTCCCAGATAAACTACTTCTATGCAAAGCTTACAGGGCCTGTTTTTGAAGAAATACAAGGGAAGTTGAGTACTCTGTACAGCATTGCTTACCCTCTTGCCGTTAGCGGCTATGGTTTCTTTTTTGAACCCCGGGTCCCTAGGACTGCAAAATGCCTGCTCATCTAGTTCAAGTCCTGTCCCCCCAACTCCAGTCCATTGCTTGATTCTCTCCATTAAAAACCTTTCTGTGCGTGACTTCAGTCCTCAAGTGTGTATTTCAAAGTCACAAAATAGTTTAGTGATAACCAGTCTGAACACCGAGACCTAGTTTCTCACGTGAGAGCATTTACTGGCTGAAGATGGCTTCCTGAGCTCAGCAGTGGACTGAGAAAGGTAATTGAGGGTGGGCATGATGAACAAGCCAGAGTTTTGGTTGTTTAAAATCCAGGTGCCACTTGTGAAGACGGGCACAGTCTTTTCCTAATTGGTTCTATCCAGTGGATAGCTTGAAAGGGCTCCCCAGGAGCTTAACTCTTGCTGATGACAAAGCCCCGTGGCCCAGCATTGGTCCCCAGAGATGTCTGCTGTGCCTGCTCAGATGGGGCTGTAACAGACTTCCTTTGTCCGGAGCACAATACCTATGTGAGGTCTTTTCAGATGTCACATGGGTAGACATATTTGGTGTTAATGCACCTCATCATTCCCTCCCATTCATAGCAAATTGTTTCCCGTATGGTCATAAGGCAAAGTTTCCTTTTTAAATGCATTTATTTAAATAAAGGAAAGTTAAGTCTGTTTTTTTAAAAAAATAATTCAGCTAATATTTGGATACTGCAAATTTGTGAAATACTGAAATATGGGAAAGAGCATCCCAGAATGTGGGACGAGGGCTGGTGTCTCCTGAAGGAGCATGAATGTGCTTTGTCCATTTTGCTAATGTCAACCATTGTTTATGACCTTTAAAATATTTATTTGAAAGAAGGGTGGAGATTTTATTATCATTCCAATAGATAATTTTGGAAACCAAAGCATATTCCTGAGTAGCCTGTGTGTGTGAGCAAAGCTTTTTAAGCTGGGTGAACTCTGATTGCTTGACTAAATGAGTAACACAAAAATAGACCTCCAGACTTAGATTGAAATCCCAGGTATGAACTCCCGGAGGCCGATACCACTCACAGCCAGCAGCACTTTCTGCAGACTCAGGTCATCTGCTGGGTGGTGGAGAGTATTGATTTTTGAAGAGCTGAGCTATAAATAAAGGAACAGAAAGCTCAGCACCCCACTGCCCATGCTGGCTGGGCTGTTTGAGTGACTTACCACTCCAGGCAGGAGCCCTCATTTATGGGAACATATTTATTTTTACATATCAATGATGTATTTTTGATGTACTTGATTAAGTATTATGGGTTCAGCCCCAGGAAACACCACCACTTCAGTTTATAAATAGTAAGTTCAGGGTGTACAAGGTTCCTGGAATTAGAACAGTATTTTTATTTTTATAGGCCTCCTGTACATTTACTTTTTTTTTTTTAAGACCAGCTCTTGCTCAAATGTGTCTGCTTTTTCTTCCAAAACACGTTTGTATGAATTTCTAGAAATGTCTACTATGTCCTTCTCTCAGACACCTAACTGGACAAATTAATCCCAAATAACAGCTCTTCATGGTATGGCAGAGTCAGAACCTAAGTCCCCTCCTTGAAGCCCCACTTCAGAGGTCCGTATCGCTCCCGAGGCACCCTCACTCACGCTGTGGAGTCAGGTTTTATTAGCCACAGTGCAACCTCACAGATTTTTCCTTTGACGTCAGTTCTTCAGGCCCCTGAGGAATCCCGCTAGACCCGGTCAAGCAGGTTTCCATCACTCTTTGACTCACCTTCCCACCCTTTTTACAAATCCAGCAGAAATGGAGATCCTGGCCCTCTTCAACAAACCGAAGAGCCATCAGAAGTGCCGACAGTACTATCCTGTGACCATCCCCCTCCGGGTGTCCAAGAATGGCCAGACAGTGAGCGGGTTGGACGCCAATTGGCTGGAGCACATGAGCGACCACTTCCGGAAGGGCGGCGAGCTGGTGAATGCGGTCTTCTACCTGGGCCTGGTCAACGGTATGGAGCACAGTGCTGGCGCGGCCCTTGGGCACTCCTCGCTCCTCCCCTTTCCCCCTCAGCCTGTCCTCAGAGCCTGCCCCACTCGGAAAGCTCTGCCGCTGACAGCACGCTGCATTTGCTTTCTAATTAACACGTCTTAAAGAACTGTCCATAAAGCCTGCCACCTCTGCTCCCTAGACTTCTCTAGGAATCAGCCAGGTATCTTCTAAAATGACAAGAAAGGAGAGTGATTCTGTGTTACTGATGGTGGCCTCAGTCAATGCTGCTTTTAAAAACCCTCAGAATAATTATTCCCCGGTTTGTTAATTACCCCCTGGGCTCATGCTGCTCCGAAAGTGCAAATTGTTTGTAGACACTATTACTGTTTGAAGGAGCAGTTAATGGCAGAGAAGTGAATTGAGAAGCCTGGTTGCTGTAAGCCGTATGGGGATACACACTGTTTTCTGGGTCTTCTGCACCCAGTACCCCTACCCCAGTAATGTTTTAATTCTGCATGGAATAGTGCTATTGATACCAGCCTTTCTAAGGTGGAGAGAACATCTGCGCAAAGTGGGGGCGTGTGCCAAGCAAAGAAAGGGTTTAGGGTGAGCAGGAAGGCAAGTTGAGTCATGAGGTGCTCAAAGCTGGAAGGCAATGTGGGGAGCGGGGCCAGCATGCCAGCGTGTATGGATCCTGAGGGCTGCCAGTCAGCAGGATTCCTAAGTGAAACCTAACACCAAATTTGTTGATCACAGCAAAACCTGGCAGGGGGCAGACCCTGACAGCACCGTGTCTTAGTTGTTGAGCAGTTTTCTCTCCCAGAATTAGCAGAGTCAGGAACAGAGTTGGGTTCTACATTATTTGCAATCCTTGAAATGCCAGCATACATCCTTAGAAGTGACATCACTGTTCATTCTGAAAGTACATGCTTTAAAATCATCCAAAGCTGTGGAATATTGTATAGCACAGACAGGTCTTAATTTTGGATGCCAGCTCCCTTGTTACTATCGAAATACCAGTATCTGATGTTAACGTTAATATAGCAGCAGCAGATATTGTGTAGTATAGTGGGCCACAACCATTTGTGGAATGGACAAATGACATCTTCAGAAAGGGGATTCATTCATTAAGAACACAACTCAAACAGTGTGGGCCAGTGGAACTTTCTTCAGTGATGGGAATGTTCTCTGTCTGTGCTGTCCTGTATGGCAGCCACAAGCCACACATGGCCCCTGACCACTTGAAATGTGACTGCTGCAACTGAGAAATTTTTTTAATTGATTTAATTTTCATTAACTTAAATTTAAATTACTATATGTTTCTAGTGGTGATATATTGGACAAGGCAACTCTAGATTTTGTGTTGCATTGATCCAACTAAGGAAGAGTCAGTGTGGCTCTTCGGTTGCAATGTCAGTGAGCCCCCTCTACCCAAGAAGGCCTTCTCTGGGGGCTCACAGGTTTGCTGAAGCCAGAGAGCGTCGTGGTGTGTTTTAATAGGTGCCATAAAGCACCAGTGACAGTATCTGCTTGGGGCAGAGGTTTACAGCCCAGATTCACCAGCCCTAGGGGAGGCCATGGAGGGCCCTGCACCATGCTTCCTGCAGGGGCACCCCATTGCCCATGGTGGGTTGTGGAAATGGTGACTCCTGTTCTCTCCTCCTGGCCCATAGAACCCTGTGTGGCCACGCATTTTAAATGTCTCCTGGGGAAACTGACGGTTACACTGGCATCTTGTGGATGTGCTGGGAGGCACTAAAGGTAGCAGTGTATGGCAGCCACTGGCAGGTTCCCTCGCAGGAGATTTGGGGCATTAAAAGGGAAGTCTTCTCTTTGGCCCTACTACCAAGCATGTCAGGGGCAAGGCGAGCCCCAGGAGAGGACACCGTGCAAGTGCACAAAACAACTGATCATCTCTCTGGCATCATGGCGTTGGCAATCCAGGCTGCATTACTGTCCCTTCTGCTCTGCCTTACCCCATTCTCCCACCTCAAGTCCAGGTTTCGCACAGTGTTTTGTCAGATTTGACTTGAGTGTTTGAAATGCTGTTATGCCCTGTCCTCCCTTGACTTCAGCTGCCTTAAAGCTAGCCTTCCTGCCCGAAGCTGCAAAAGTGCAGCTGTTGGCGTCTGGCGCTGAGCCTGCGACATCCATATAACAGGGCTGCCGCCCTGCACGTCTGAGTCCCAGGCATGGCTGCAGACTTCTCAGAGCAAAAGTAATTTAGACCCACTCCAAACCCAAGTACTGTATTACCCTGTGTGCTTCTGACAGGAGGGAGAGGGTGCCTCGGGGGCAGTACTTCAAGTTGGCACATTTCTGCTCTGGAAAAGCCCAGGTTTTGTTGGCCAGAGATGAAATATGTGTATGTTCTTTTCCCAGAATTTAAAAAAGAAAAAGCAGGCTACACATACTTACAAAAGGAACGTATTTCTAATAAGATAATTATGTCCTTGCAAATAAGTCTGGCAGAGCCAGAGTGTGTCCTTTAAGCTGCTTGCCATCTGGAAAAGCACCAGTCTTAACTCTTAAATGGATATTTGTTCTCCAAAGTATTTTCCACAGAGCCGTAAAACTTGAGAACTTTGTCCATAAACAAGGTAATGTTTTAGCCCAAATTATCTAGTTAAGACTCCAGCTTCTGTTTTCAAATTTTTATCCCCCAGGACATGAGAAGACAGAGTGCTCAAGCTTGCTCTTCTGCTGGGGGCTTCCAGGGCTCTCCAGGGTCACTTATGAAGCCTTAGAATGGCAAGGCATCCTGTGCCAGGAAGGCTGCCCCTTCAGGCCCTGGCAAGCAAAGTGTCAATGAAAGCAGAGCCTGATGATGCTAAGGGACCCCAAGCATGGGTCCTGCCGGCTCTGGAGCCGTTCAAACACAGCAACTCACTTAATCCCCACAGCTCAGGCGGGTGGTTCTGTGGTTTTCCCCGTGGAAATTGAGTCATTGCCAAGGTTACCGGCTTGTAAGTGGCAAGAAAATGGTAGGGAGAAAGAAGACTGTGGGTAGGTAGAGGCAGGTGAGGAGGAGAGAGGGGAGGGGGCCACATAGGTGAGTGGCTGAGGTCCCCAGCAGGGCCTGGGGTGCCCCGGGAAGGGAGGGGACCCCAGCGTCACCACAGGGAAGCAGCAGCCTGATGGTTGGACACAAACACTGCAGCCAGTGAGACGGGGCCAGAATCAATGATGCTCTGGGGAGCGGGGGTAGGAGGAAGCCCCTCTGCTCTTGGCATGGAGCTGAGAGGTGCCAGCAGTCAGGGGTGACGGCCAGGTGAGCTGAGACTTCTCCCCAAGGGCTCCCAGCCCTCAGAATGCCTGCCGCTGCCATGGCACCCATAGTGCCGGAGCCCCCACCTGCTGCCCTTGACGGCCCTCCCCCTCTTGCTGTCACCAGGCCCTGTCCTGGCCCTGCCTTCCTCTCATTCTGCTCTAGTCCTCTCCTTGTCCCCCCAGTCTTCCCTCTCTGGCCATATGGTCTTTATTCCGCCCCCACTCAGATGTCTTCAACTGTTTCAAAATGTCCTTTGTGGCAAGTTGTTCAAATCAGATCCAGTCCAGCCACATGCACTGTGTGCAGTGACCAGGTCCTCCCTTTCACATGAGGGAATCATTTTGTGTGACGCTCCTTGAAATAATCTGAACCTTTTAACCTGCGGAATGTCCTGCATTCTGGCTCTCTGGCCAGTGCCTCGTAATGTCCCTTATCTTATTTCTGTAGCCTCTGTCTCCTATAAACTGCAATTTAGTTCTAAGGCTTTGATAAATCAAGCTTTCATGACTAGAATACATTCCAGATGCTGTTGTTCACATCAGGAGACACTACATCTAGCTGTCTCTCCATTCCTACCCATTTAAAAGACAGTCTTCCTCGGGACTCTCCCCTACCCCCAAACCCATCTAGATCCAAACATTTGGTATTCATGCTACATTTTTTTGATGCCTAACATAACCTACATTACCTTATATTTGCAAAATACACATGCAGAAAACATGGGTGTGTATTTCAAATACATGTGGAGACACATATTTTGTACAGACACATTCGCAAACCCTCAGGCAGGTCCCATGTCCTGCACTTCTTAGCATCCCTGTGTCAAACACCACACACTGTATACAGGTGACTAACAAGAGCTTCTGGACGATGCTCAGTAAAGCCGATGCTGATGAGGGGAGAAGCTGGTATTGGGATGTGCATCACCAGGAACTGCAGATTAGGAGGGAAGGAGAGCGGGGTGTGGGGGGATGGGAAGGGGTGGAGATGGGGTGGATGCAGGTGGTCCCAATGCCCACCCCCCTGGAACCTCGCCATCTCCAGGAATGTCTGGCCTGGTGGGCACTGTCTGTGTGGCATGGCTTCTGTTTCAGAGGGGCCACTTACTGTAGGGGGTGGATTTTACTTCTGTAGTTAAATACATTTTCTCTTACATCCATAGCATATCCTTAAAAATAAACTTTTTGTGGTATAGAACATACACATACAGAATACTGTTTTCATTGTAAGGCTATAGCTCAGTAGATATCCACAAGGTGAACACACCCTGTAACCAGCGCCAGGTCAAGTAAAATAAAGCAGCCCTCTCAATGCCCCCCTAATGCCCCTCACAGTCTCCATCCCCAGGGGTGACTGTGGTCCAGACTTGAAATACTACAGATTCGTCCTGAACTTTATATGAATGGACTATGTGAATGAACACTCTTCTTGTGTTTAGCTTCTTTGTCATGTTTGTGAGATTTAGGCACCTTTGTACATATAATTGCAGATTTTCCTTGTTACTGTGTATCCCTAATGTCAACACTTACAACTCATCCATTTACGAGTATGTTTTTATTCATTTTTTGCCCCGTGTGGGAAGCTACAGCATCTGCCCAGAATTGGCCCCAGACTGAAGCCCTAAGGCCATCTTCCTGTGATACCACTGAGATGCCACCCAAAACACCAGGCAGAAAGTGGTCAGAGAGCACCCGCTGTGCAAGGCCAGTCCAGTACCCCTACCCCAGTAATGTTTTAATTCTGCATGG